TCCTTATTATTTTCCAACTCTGTTCTCTTGCTGGTCTGCTGAAAAAGTGTGACAACAGCCGGCAAGCTTCACTGCCTAGTTTCCATGGTAACAGAGTATGGCGCACAAAGGTGGTAGGCGTGGCCTTGTGTAAGGAGGGGAGCAGCAGATGCAGCGTGGAGCAAGTGTGGCCACGCTGTCTTCCCGCGCTCTTGTATTGTGAATGGCACAGCTCGGACGGATTAACGTGCGTTGCTTTTACAGTCTTAGACGGCACACGTGAACCCACACGCTTAGGGCTATCATATAGAAAAATGTTACTACAATGCCAATATTTCAGGCAGTAAATTACTGTCTGTATAGTCACCTTATTTTCTGTACATTTTCATTTCATTGCAGTTTCATTTGCACGATCAAAACCATCCTGGCACGCTCTGATGCCCATGTTCATGTCTGCTCAGGCTCAATCACATGGCTCTAGACAGACAAGCTCTGTGTTCCGACTCAGTAAGTGTGCTAACAAGCTGAAAGCAAAGCAGTCTGCTTCGTTAGGCTCATTAGCGCTCGTTAACAACTTGTTTACCATTGGAGATAAAAGAAGTAAACCTCACATAGATGTCGTGTAAAGACGAGAATCATAATAATTGATGCTACTATATAGTTTGCAAAAAGCCACATAATGCAATGGCATTTACTTTACAGGCATGCTGTTAGTTCCATAATTACTCCAACTAAAAATATTGAAAACAAAGGAGCTGTGTTTCCATCACAATGAAGGGAAGCTGCATGTTTACGAGCAGATCTGAAATGACAGGTTCAAAGTGAGGACACTTTTTACTGACTATTAAAGTAGGTTAAATATTGTTGAGGATTTAGATTTTATTACACTCACAAAACCTGTTTTTCCAGCTTTGACCTGAAGCTTATTTTACTTCTCTGTTAAAAATTAATAAGTCTTGTGATGAAGGCATAAGATTTGTTCTCAACAGCCTGCAGTCGTGCAGCTGACTTGGTTTGTTCTGTGGTATTTTGCCACTCACCTGTGGAAATCTGAATGAAGCCAAAGAGGATGATGATGATCAAGGCTATCAATTTGGAAGCGGTGAACAAGTCCTGGACCTTGGTTGCTGCCTTCACACTGATACAGTTTACAAATGTCAGGGAGGCTACAAGCAGCGGGGAGACACAAAACACACTACAATCAAGAATCTGGTGAATGACCAGCTGCAATGAAGTGTCTAAAATGTGTATTTGACCTAAGAAAGCCCACCAACATCATGTACTCACTAAGACACAGGCAGGCAATGAGCTTGGCTGCGCTGTCGGGCACGACGCAGTTGGGGTAGAGAGGTTTCAGAAGGTAGGTCGCAAACACCAGTGACACCACATACTGCGACGACGGCCGGATGATGAGCATCTCCACCCACAGCTTCAGAAAGGCAGCCAGTTCGCCATATACCTCCAGGATGTAAGTGTAGTCTCCTCCTGACTTGACAATAGTTGTACCCAGCTCTGCGTAGCACAGAGCACCCATGGTGGATATCACTCCACAGGCGGACCAAATGATCAGAGAGAGCCCAGCGGAGCCGGTCTCTTTGACAACACCTGTGGGAGTGACGAAAATGCCCGAGCCGATGATGGTGCCGATGATCATTCCGACACCGTTGAAGAGGGTGATGCTGCGTTTGAGTTCAATCTTCTCCCCCTTGCCTGGCAGGCTGTTGGTGGAACCTGTGGCAGCAGGCGGAGAACCCACGGGGTCAGATGGAGATGCTGGCTGCTCCACAATGAGACCATCTTGCTCAGGCTCTGCTCCAGTCGCTGGTGGTGAGAGGACAGCAGAAGGGGAGACAGTCAAATTACAGAGTCTGGCTCATTTTCAGACAAATGAAAAGAATTTACAAGCTTTCTCGCTGAGTTGTTTTAGGCACTGGTTACTTTGAAAAACTATGATTAATAAAAACAAACAAACTCTTGTGTTACTAAAGGAAGAATTCATATAATTTTTTTAAAATAGACATTTTTGGAAATCAGCACCTATGAGATTTTCCTTCTGAACCTGCTGTCCTTATTGAACTCTTTCTATCCGTGTAAACACACACTGCATCTGATAGTTGTGTTTTCATACCCACGTTCCTAATATGTGCCATTTGTCCACACCTGTCACCTGCTACCATGAAAGCATCTCCTCAGCATCAACTCTACAATTCTACTCTTGCATCATCAATGTTGCATCAGAGCGCATGGTGGAATAATGCAGCGCTGCACCATGTGGCAGTTAGAGGTGCGTGAGCATGCACTGTACCTACCCCCCATCTTCTCCTTAGCGACGCTCTCTCGGCTGCCTCTCGATTTCAGCTCCGGCTCAGCCATCTTCCCTCTCAGTCTGAGACTCCTTGTCTTGTCTGCTTCCTCCTGCAGCCCTTTTTCTTCCTTTCTTTATGTCCTCTTCCTCTTTCTGTTGATTTACACTCTGTCTCTCTCTCCCGGACACACACACACGCGCGCGCGCGCGCAGGTCTCTCTACTTCCTGATTCGTCCTCTCACTCACATGTGCCCACACTGCTTCCGTCACTCAGACTACAATTCATCTGTGCCTGATCCTCTCTGTCTCTCTCGCTCCCTCTCTCCCTCCCATCCTATATCAAGCACACAGCAGGGAGGAGCTGAACCTTTGTGATGCTGCTGCTGCTGCTGCTGCGTGAGCCTACGCCCATTCCAGGGAATGATGGGATACCTAAGAGGGGGAAGTAGGTTGTGAGAAGGCACCATTTGGAAGGAATACCATGTGACGCTGTAATCTTTTTGTGTACTGCCTAATCCTGCAGTATACAGTATGCCTATGTGTGTCACTGGGTGCTTTCATGTCAGAGGTGATTAGAATAAATGCTGTAGAGCTGGTTTCCCGCCCTACTGGGGACCAAATGGAAAAAAACAAACTGTCTTTATTCTGCCTGAAAGGTGAGATCACAAAGAACATGGAGATCCATTGGCCATTTTGAGTGCAGACAGTGTATAATAACAATGACGAAGCTCGTTTATGTTCCTGTATTCTTCTATGGGCTACAAGGTGTTTAAACTGGACCATACCCAACAAAAATTACAATATCATAATTACTCATCAGGAGTGACTTTTACAATCAATTGGGGAAAGGATTTGCCCTGAAGTTATTGGTGCTTGTAGGGTATGCATGTTTTATCAGAAAGAAGAAGAAATTGGGATTCTAAAGTACATGTAAATAAAATTTAAGTGCAATGATTTGCATAATATTTAAACTCCATATTTAATTGGGAAGGTGTTATTTTGAATCGTTATATCAAAAAATACGCTTATGTTCAAAGTCATTGTAAGGCATATTTAAAATAATGTTTGTTAACATAAAATTGCTTCTCGTGGGTGCATGTAGCGCTGCTAAGCATCCCCCTTGCATTCATTTTTTTGGCAATAATTCACAAAAAAGCTCTTTATAGTCAGTTATTGCCTAAATATTCACCTTTGGCTGCCATCCTTGTTTTGACCTTATGTGGAGTGGTTTCACTTAGACTCCATTCACTGCTCAAACTCCATCAGACTGAACAGAGATCTGCTGTGAACAACACATTTAATGTTCAGTGACAAGTTCTCCGGCCTGAGGTCTGGCCTCAGACAAAAAGCTCTATGTTAGTTAAATCAGAGCGAACAACCTTCTTCTAGTTAACCTTGGAGCCTCCTGCATGCCTGTGGATAGACTCCAAGAGACAGAGATGTTTGCAGTGTGCTTGTATCTTCAGTGAATGAACCCTCGAGAATAAATGGCTTTGAAGAGAGTGAATATTTATGTAGTTGTTTAATAGTTTGAATTAATCCACATTACTTTGTAGATGTAAAAAAAAAAAATTTAATATCAGAGACTTGTTTTTTTAATTTATTTTTTTATTTTAAAGCTTTAAAATTGACCATGAATCCAATTATAAAAGCAATAAAAGAGTAAAAACATCTGAGGGGATGAATACTCTCTATATGCAATTGAATATCACCAAAGTTTTTTTGAAGAATCCAGAGAAATATATCTATGCAGGGGGCAAAGCTGAAAATCTAATACTGAATTGCTTGTCATATAATCCACATACACAAACTTAAAACTCTACTTTGATAAAATACATCTGATATCTGAGATATCGGAGACCAAGCTCGTTTAAGATGGACATGAGTTTGGTAAAAAAAAATATTCAGGGGGGCTGACAAGGAAAGTGTGAAAAATATTTTTTGGGAAAATCACAAACTATCAAAAGAGGGAGCACCTGGCTGATATCAGCATCTGCACAGAAGTCTGCATCTGTGCTTGAATGGGAGCATTAGTTCACATTGCATGAGTAACGAACCAAATAGCATATACAGATTTTAGGGCATCAGTGCCTTTTTCAGAGAAGGCCTTGCTTAATTCACCAGCATTTCTGCTTAAATATGGGAGTATTTCTCACAAGCTTTTCTTTTTCTAAAGTAGGTTGTAAATATCAAATCCTGCAACCTAAAGCCCCCCCAATACCTATATGCACAAAGTACCCCATACAATAAAACGCTTTACAACTATGTCTGATTATATGGAAATAAATCCGACTCTCAGATTGATTTGCCTAATATATGCCTGGATTTATTGTGTGAGCCCTGTGCTCGGCGCTAATGAGTTGCATGTCCAATATTTCACCGCAAGGTGGAGCCCTAAACACAATTTAAAACCTGAGATATATTTTTCTTCTTCTGAAGATGAACCTGGTCAAACTCACGGTGCTTAAACAGGATTTGTCTGTTTTTTAAAAGCTCAGGGAAACTTACTGAGGAACTTACAGGAACATCTTAACGATGTGTTTGATCAAATAAATAAATATGGCCAACACTACAAAATAAATAAATCAGAGAAATCCTTACACCCTAGACCTGGCATATTTGTTGTTAAAATAAATCACTTCAGACTGTTTTAATCTATAAAAACTATATTGTTTTATAAGCTTTTCTTATATTTTAAATGGTAGAAATGCTAAACAGGAGGGAATGTCTAAATGAACAGTAATTAGGAACCTTACCGTAAGGAAACTGCAGCCTTACCATTTTTCATTCATTTTTATAAGGACCTATTATTATATTGACTGCACCTGTTGCTCCAAACCGCAAAAGTACGTGAAGTAAAAGTGGGCCCATATATTCACAGACATGCTTGGACGACGTGAACTATAAAAGAAGCATTCGGAGAATGAGCCCCGTTCTGTTAAGGCGTTACTAGCAGCTCTCTTGCATAACTATCAACGCTGACAAATTCGACCTGCGATCACCGAGCTCAGTTCAGCAGAACATCTCAGCTCACTAGTGGTGGAGCGCAGATCGATCCTGGTTTTCCAGCCAGGGCACTTTCTGCCAGGTGTCCGGGGACTTTCCCCTGGGCGAAGAGAGGAGAAACCAGGTTCCCTGTATGTAGCCCAGAGTGCAAGCCTTCTGAATGCCCGGATGTCATCAGCAGGAAGCGGCGGATAAATAGAGGGGCAGGCGGCACATGTTCAACATCGCGGTGTCTCAAAAAATATGAACAGCTGTATCAGTGTTAACAACTATTTTACAAAATGAGAGTGAATATGTCTGAGCTGTTCTGTCCCAGAAAGAGCGTCTCCTCTTGTTTGTAAGGAGCTCAATTTGAACGGATCAAAGCCGCGGGGCATCATGGGAAATGTTAAAGGTAAATATCAAGGGGCCAGAGGGGGTGGGGTTTTTTTTTACACTAGACGCTGTACCCACGTCTAGTGTATCACTTTTAAATAATTCAGTAAACGCAGTAATGTCCCCGGGGGGCTGGAGGGACACTAACATCCCTTTTAGCTTTTCAGAAAATGCCATTATAATTGCTGTAAATTATTCAAAACACCCACATCTAAGACAATAAACTCCACACAAACGCCGTGTGTTACGCACACATGCATAAATTCAGAGCTGACTTAATTTACTAATTTGTATTATGATAATTTAAGAAGAAATAATTTGTATTTTTATCCCTTGTTGTTTTTCCCGTTTTCAGTGGAATTATCATTTATATTAGCGCACTGACAGTGTCTTTATAAATAGCAGTACGTTGTTTATAAAGGTATTTTAATGAGGCCAGGTCTAATATCATTATGCTGTCTCTGAAGAAGCCATTTGATTCGTCTGCGGTGGTCTCTTTCCCAGCATGCCTTGTTTCCCAGCATGCCTCAGCACCATTTTTCCCATCGTTTCAATGGACAGGTCATTTCGGATGCAAAATTAGCGAATATAATTTATTCTTACAATAAAGCAACACTTTATGTCATACACGGCTTTTATTTAGGGAGGAGTCCTCGCACCGTAACAAAGGCTACCGTCAGATTCGTCCCTATATAAATAACATCCAGTGTTGCTTACGTCTTCCGGTGGGAGGAAGCTCATTGTAGAGGTCACGTGCAGAGTGCTCGTCACTCCTCCAGTTACCTCGGGGAAGGTCTGAGACAAGAGCCAATAGCTGCTCTTGCAGGGCATCACCTGATTCGGGTGAGCGAGTGAACAGAAATAGTGGTGCCGACGCGAGCACGTCTCACAGGAGAAGCCAGGTGGAGCAGTTTATCAGCTCCTCCGGTGGATGTGGTGCTCGCTGGCTTGGAATCACTCGCGGCTGGCGAATGAGTGCGATGTATGAGGTGGAGTACAGCTCCAGAACCCAATTCAGACTACTCTCCTTCCACCTTTTCTTCTCAACTCTTCTTTTATTCTGTTTCAAAGCTCTGAAACCCAGAGAGTATGCATCCTGCGTGGCAAAAGCGTGTAAACGTGCTTTAAACTATTATCCAATCCAAAGTTAGGATCATTGCCCGCACGAAAACAGTATGAAGCATGTCATATGTTTATGGCTGATAGATTTGCATTTGGTGTAGCTGGTCCAATAAATCCATTTTAGCAACTTTATTATAATATTACATTTACAGTATTTTCCCACTAAAAATATAAAGAGGAAAACTGAAATGTAAATGCCTCAGCAATATATTAAAAAAGTAAAATTTCAAGTGACTTGTCAGTAACATTTATAAACACAGTGTGAACTTGTTTATCATTTTAGGAATATCCAGTGGATACAAACTAAACCGTTTGAGCAATATTAATTGCTTGTGTTCCCGCTGTTGTAAGAACATCAGAAGGTCTTAAGGGGCCAAACAGCTGTGAAAAATAATCATTATAATTCTTCCTTACTCTACAGTTCAGCCTAGTAGGTAATGCTTCATTAAGGCATTTAAAAACACACAGGCTGGAAGAAAATATCACGCCTTATCTATAGCATGACTTACAATTCCATTAAAATCTCCTGGATTTATCTAAGACAAGTGATGTAATGTTACAAGCAGTGAATATTATCATTACCATATTACAGTAGACTGGAGTCCTGTCCATTGTGTACTCGCTTTTCCTGCTATCATAGGCTACAGTCCCCAAAACACTGATAGAGGAAGTGATTAAGAAAACGGTGGCGAATGAGCCTAAAGAGTGTCTTTTAACTTAACAGGATGTAGAAAAAAAAAAACATCATTCACAGAGCAAGAACATTTTGACTGTATGTGAAGAAGTCTGCAGAGCAGGACTTTTTTAGGGGCTGGTCTAGAAAGCTGTGTCTTAATTTGAAAGCTGTATTTCAGAGTTGCATTGATGCAACTGCATGCATGCAG